CAGCATCAAATCTAGATTCCAATTTTCTTTCTTTCTTTCTTTTCTTTTTTTTTGTAGTGTATAACTCAGGAGTTGGCTGTGGTGGAAACTGCTCCCTCCCTGCCCTTTACTATGGATAGAGCTATGGAGACTATCCTAACCATAGGGATCCCAAGGCAACTTGCCAACTCACATACAGCCCCCAACTGAATGCACGGGAATTAATTTCATAGCTTGCAGAGTCTGATCTTTGGAGATAGACACAGGTCCAAATTTTGATTTTTTTTTCATTGCTTAGTTTTATGATCCTGGGAAAATTATTAACTTCTATTAACCTTAGATTCACTCATCTGTAAACTGGATTTAATAAAGTCTACCTAGATGTGCTACCTTGCCAAATTATGTGGACACAGCATATGAAGTGAGAGATACGAAGTGCACTGTAGTTAGAAGGAATTAAAACCTATTATGTTGTTATTCTAAATATAATTGCTTAACAATTTTCAGCATGGCCATCATAGAAGCATCCAAATGGAATGACCAGTAGGCAACATCAGGAGTTAAAGACAAAAATACATTAGGACTAGATAGGACCTTAATAATCATTCGATACAACTCCTTCAGTTAATACACCAAGATCATTAGGATAAGTCAATAACCTCTACAAGGACACCTGCCGGAAGGTGTCAGAGATCTGATGAATGAAGACAGCTTCCCTAATGTATTAAAAATGCTATTACTGGCTCAAAGTGAGTACACAGAATCTTCAGGACAAAGTCTCATTGAGTGAACGATGACTCTATTATGATCTTTGTGGTAACTGGACCTTCTCCCCATCTTCCTAACTGGCAGGGATAATTAGCATCCTATATTCTAGCCATATTTCAGCAGAGTTCTGGCAAAGAAGCTACAGGGCTTTGGATCACCAGTGAAAGCTTTTAGGAACATTTCAAACGATATCACATCGCTTTGTTTTGTAACAAAGGGGCACTGAAAAGTAAAATGATGTAGAAAAGGAAAACGGGGTCCTACTAAAGAAAGAAAAGGCAATTGGGAAGAGCTGGAATGAAAAAGAAAGAAAACGTCAATTTAGAGGAGAGTTATTCATTTGAATGAGAATAGGGGCTGGGGGGAGGTTATTCGAATGGAAACCAATTTTCTCATAATACCCTGGTGTGAACATTCCTCTTCTAGTTTTTCAGGTATATTTTCCAATGATGAAAATATGAATCTGGTTTGGAGATGGGGGCTCTAAGGGTTGAAGGGAAAGAGAGTTCACATGAATTGTGAAAGATCAGCCTAGCCTGTTCAACCTTGGAAAAATCTTTAGGACTCTTCCAAATCACCCTTGTAGTGCTTCCTTTACTTCTGCTGACTGTAAATGCCACAAAAGTACACCTCAAACACTCTCCTGCTGGAAAAAGTCAGCCTGATCTTTGTTTATTTATAATTTTACCTATCGACTGGGTTTGCGCAGAAGCTTCAGATCACTCAAAGTATATCGCATCTCTTTACTTGAAGATGTTTATGAATGGGAGTGACGTCCTAGGATACTTTAGATGAAGTTCCGTCTGTGATGAATGGCATCATCAGAGAATAAAGAGTTGTTTATTTCTTTCTCAAGGCTGTTATCTCCTTGAACCTGGTATGTAGCACCAGCAGGTAAGATGCTTGAGGATCATTCAAAGTGACTTACTGGGTCAAAATTAAGGCTGTCATAATCACATAACATCTGACGATTGTTAAAAATAGAACGAAAAGTGACCCTGTGAGTATCCCATGCATTGCTTTTATCTTCTGAGTGCAAGTTGTATTATAATAGTCTTTCAACATACCTAATATTTGAAGAATCTTCTCAGTAAAATATTGAGCTGCTGTTCTGTTTGGGAGAAGAAACACATCTCAATAGCTGTTTTATACCCAAGCCTCTGAGTACAGGGAAAGTTGCATAACTGGACAGGCGTCTGACCTGTTAGCTGTGGCATAACCAGGGCTAGAACCCGTCAGCATTTCAAACTCCTACTTTCACTCGAACACCAGCAAGTCACATCGTTTCTTCTTGTGTCAAAGGAGTTGATATTATATGTAAAATGGTTTTCCATTTAACGCTGGTCTATCATAGCTACATTCGAAATTAACTAACTCCCTCAGGGTAAACCCAAAGGAGATGTTGTAGCTACTTAATATCCTGAAAATCTGGAATGGGGGAATTTCCAGAGTTTTTATTACTGGTTGGTAATTATGTTCTCCGCACAGATTCCTAATATCTATTCTGTAGCTGGCCTTCTAACCTGACTTTATTTTAATTTTGTGTAATTAGAAACTTATAAAATCTATAATTGGGTAAGCATTCATTTCTCTCTTACAGATGAACACCCAAGTTTTGGTCAGATTATGAGAAAATTAAACATGCACACACGCACACACACGCACACACACACTCATCCTACACACACTAGTAATATCAACACATTATTATTAGAATAATGTAAACAATTAAAAGTTGTTTTTATTTGAACAAAGTTCACAGGCATTCTTAGGTACCATTTAGCATCTTGGGTAAATACCCCATTTCGGGGGCTACTGTCATGAATGAGGGAAAATATAACTTCAAAATATAAAAAAATCTTGAAAAAAACTCTCCAAATAACCTATATACTTACACAAATTGACTATTAGGAAGGAGATTTATCTTCCTCAGTATATGCATATAATTGCTAATGGATTGTAGATAAATAGTAAATCAAAGCCCTGTATTTAATGGATAAAGTGTGTGCACAATTGAAGTCTGGGAGAATTGTGGAATGTTAATGTTTTTTTTTTCCTTAGAGGTTCTGCAACACAGGTTCTGAAGACCACCAAGATACACTGATTTGAGAGGCAATTTTCTGCTGCCATTCTATTGAATTAATGCATTTTGTTCGGCATGATAAAAAACATGTATCATTCTTTGAGAACACCGTCCCCCAAATATTTAGCAAGCAGTGTGCCCTCAATTGAAATGTTGATTGGAAATAGGGAAATCAAACTGTCACCTGATGAAATACTAAAGCTCATTATCACAAAGTTCCATTTTCAATGTTAAGAATTAGCTTTATTGCTGCATCAGTAAGCACGAGCCTTAAATCCACGCCATGTAGGTTTCATGAGCATTATTACAACATATTAACCATAATTCAATTAATTTACAGAAAATGGCATTCTGCAACTTATTTTTTTTTCCTTTGCTCTTAAGAAAAGGTGCTGTATAAGGAAGCCCAAACCACATTCTTACAGAATATGTTCTACCTCTTTCGCCCTTATTCCTCACCCCACCTTTGTGGATCTTCAAAATATTCACTATTTCCAAAGAAGTAAATGTGCTAAAGGAAAAAGAGCCATTTCACGGCTACACCTTTGCATCATTAGGACAATACTGACCTCTAGTGTTTTAGGAGGTAGACAGGCTAACTCAGCATCATGCCTAACTTCCTCTAACTAAACCACTTAGATGTTTTTCTAAAGCACCATGGGAACAATTTCACTTAAAAGAAGAAAAAGGAGAAGGAAGAGGAGGAAGAGGGGGAGGAGGGGGGGAAAGAGGGAGGAGGGGTAAAAGAGAAACATCAGATTCTAACCATTTTCTTTCTATTCTCTGAAATGATTTCTAAACTAAGTCCCTCTGGCTCCTTCCTCCCTTTAGAGAGACTGACCTCTTTAGCCCTCCTTTAGAATACAAACTTTCATAGTGTCTTTATAAGGCATATACCTTATAAGTATGGATTCTGAGTCTCCAAAACTTCCAATCACAGATAGAGACTCTGGCTCTGCTTTGGATCATTTCCAGTAAACAACATTTGTCTAAATGTCCTCCCTTGAGATGCAACACTGGGTTGAGTACCTCTTACCCAAGGTCCTCTTGGACCTAAGAGGGTGAGGAGTGATATAGGGGGATTGACAAGTACTAAGTAGTCTTCCCATCTTTCTCTAACAGGGATGTTATGTCCCAACGTGCTTAAGCAATTCTGAGGTTCCTGGCCGGGTTAGCAGAGAGGGGAGCAAGCACAGAAACTCAAGGAACCTTGATAAACCATCTTTGGAAACAACACAGATGGCTTAATTGCGTTCTTTCTCATTTAGGAGTTCCCAAGCTGGAAAAACTTCCCTCTCTCTGCCTAGAGAGGCAGCTGAGCAATTGAGCTTGAACCTCTGATGGCTCCAGCGATTTATTCAACTTTGACGAACTGGGTTCTTTAAATACACAGTGCAGGTGGCGGATCCCCAGGTGTCCAGCCTTCCTGCCTATTAAATTAAATGCCCTGCACTTGCTGAGGTTAGAGCTTGGACGACAGAGGGTACACTTAGTGCATACTCATTATGTGTTCTTTGGCACAAAGATTTTGGGGGTGGAGTGTGCATCAAAAGCTCTTCCTTCTGGAACAGGGGCAGCCATTGATCTTGTGGTTTGACTACACTGGGCCACGACTCTTAGGCCAAAACTCCCAATCCCAGGAAACCGGTGCCTCTCGGTTGCGAGATACCCCAGCTGAAGCTTTCTGCCTGGGGGAGAGCTGAAAGCCGCGTCTCGTGAGGCAGTGGGCACACTGCAAATCCCAGGCAGCCGCATTCGGAGACTGTCACCGCTATCAGCCAGCGCGGTGGCCGGGAGCATCTGTATCTCGGGGAGCTCACAGCCCTCAGTGCCTACGATCTGAACCCGGGGCCCTTCTCAGGAAAAGCTCTGCTAAGACACCAGGCAGGCGTAGAACGCGGAGCTGGCTTGAGGCTAAAGGAAGGCGATCCCTCCCTTCTCCCCGGAACTTTGCGATTCGGGAAGAAGGGCAGGCAACCCGGCGGGGCTGGCTCATCGGAGCTAACTTTTGGGATGGTTTGAGGGATGGAACCACACCAATCAGCAACCCCCGCCCCCCTTCCCCTCTGCTCGGGGCAGGCACAACTGAACACGCGTGGACACTTGAGTGTCTTTCTCCCACGCTCGCATTCCCCACCTCACCTACCCGCTCCCAGCTCCTGGTACTCACAATTTGTCGCCGTGAATCCTACATGCCACAAGCCGAAGAGCAGCAAAGTGAGAACGCTGGTCAGCCGTGGTACAGAATCCATTTCCCCCGAGGAAGCGGTTCCTCCCAGTCGGATCCCAAATTCGCAGGCGCCGGCCGCGGCTGCCGCTGCGCCTTCTCTCTCTCTCTCTCTCTCTCTCTCTCTCTCTCTCTCTCTCTCTCTTTCTCTCTCTCTCACTCCTGTCGTCCTCTCTCCTGCGCGCCGCCTGGCCCCCTCCCGCCCCCCCAAGGAGAGCCACTCGCTGCTTCACTCCATCCCGTGTCCAGAAGCTCCACCGAAAGCACAGCGGGGTCTGCCTTGGAGCTGCGGCTGGAGCTGCGGGGCCCGCACCTGCCGCTCGCTGTGCGCGCCCGCCTCGCCCGCCTCGCCCTCCGCTCCCCCTCCTTAAAGGCGCAAAGCCGAGCCCCGCTGCAACAGCAAGCGGCGAGCCGGGCGCACGGCCGCTGCACCTCGGCCGCGGGCGCTGGGATCCGCACCCGGGCCGGCCGCTCCTTATAGGCGAGCAGGGCGCGCGGCACCGCCCCCGGCCAGGCCCGCCCCGCGCCCTCCTATGAGAGCGGCCTGGGCGGGTCCTTCAGGCCCCGCGCGGCGGCCGGGCGCTCCGGCTGCCCCGGGGGCCGCGGGCCCCTCTCCCGCGCGCGCTCACCGCCCTACCCTCCCCTCCCCTCCCCTCCGCACCCGCCCGGGGGAAGCAGAGGCGCTGACCTTTCCCCCAGGTTTTCCTAGAACGCCGCTGCCCTAGGCATTCTGCAGGGAGTTGCAAGACAGAACGCAGCGGCCAGAGCGAATTTCCCGTGGAAACCTTGGCAAGGAGCTAATGACATGCCTTTTTTCTTTTTCTTTTTTCTTTTTCCTTTTCTTCCTCTCTCTCTTTTTTTTTCTTTCTTCTTTTTTTTCTTTCTTTTTTTCTTTTTTTCTTCTTTCTTTTTTAAGGGGAGAGGGAAGACTTGAATTTTTGAAGGATTTCCCCCGGGGTTGCTTCCTACTAAGGAAGGCCGACGGGTGTGGGCGGTGTTGGGGTTTTTGATGTAGCGACTTAATGTCAGGTCCGCGCCCCCTGCTCTGCGACCCCCGCGCCGGGATGCCACAGCTCGCACTTTCAGGGCGGCCACATACACACAAACACACACACACACACACACACACACACACACACACACACCCTCCATGCTGTTGGCAGGGAGCTTGGGGCGACCACTGTAAGATGTTCCGGGCTTTAGGTCTCCGAGAGAGGGAGACACAAATTAGGTGTGGTAATGGGGAGAGTCAGGGTGGGGGCCCCGGTTGACTCCGAAGATTGGAGATCTGAGCCTCCCACCCCCGCCCCATCCCACCACCCCACCCCACCCCCGCTGAGGGATTTAAATTTTAAAGGAGGTAAAGAGTAGTTCTTTTTCTTCCTGGATGCTTATTAGAAACCCTGGTTCTGTCTTTGGCTTCTGGTTTGCATCTGGGGACTTTACCATAAATCAGTTTATTTTGTTTTTATTGGAAGCTGTCAGAGAGCTGCCAAACCTTAACAAAATGAGGGACCATAACGATTTCTCCTATGTAAAGCTTACAATCAAGTTAGGGGTAGAGTCACTTCAGAGGAAGTTGATGTCTCCCCTTCCCTCCCCATCCTCCCTCCTGCAGCAGCATCTAGGCTGCTTCTGCATGAATCCTAAGGTTAACTTTGTGGTTTTTGGTTAGAGCTCTGCTCACATCTTCGGAATACTAAAAGGGAGTTGAATAACAATTCGATTTGTGACACCATTATTTTCATAGAGAGGAGAGAATTCTGGGGGTCCTTTCACGTGTAACTTACAATGATGCTCTTGTCTCCGAGCTTCTAATTGAAAATAACTGTGCCAGCTACTAGATTCTTGGGCAACCGGAAGACTTCTCCGGCACAGGCTTTACCTGTGGAAGGACGGCCATTTCCAGGGGATGGTGAGTCACAACACTTCAAAGCTGAGGTGATCCAAGAAGCTACCCTGGTGGCAGGGGTCTGAGTAAGGAGGGGGCTGGTGCCCAAAGTCAAGCTGATCGGTCTTGCCTCTCCTACTGAGTGTCCCAAGTGCTGCCACCCAATCTGTGGCCTTTGAGCATTTCAGTTTCAAAAACACCTATGTAGGTAATTTAATCATACTGGAGAGTGTAGAAAATAATAGGCACCATTATCCAGCCTTGTATGTTCTTTAACAGACGGTTTTTAGAAGAAATAAAATAGTACAAATATAATTTAAGTTGCTTTTGCATTCTTGTCTAATCCCAGTTATCTCCTACCATATCTAAAGGTAAATACTTTTATTCTCATTCTCATACATTGTGTTTTTATACATTTACCACACATATTTACATCCCTAAACAATATATGGTATCACTTTGGTTGCCTTTAATCAATATATAAATGGTATCATACTGTTTCATTTTGCACCTTGCAATTTACTCGGCATTATATTTTTCCAATTTCTTTGCTTGGATATATGTAGTGCTAATTCTTTCATTTTAACTGCTGTGTTATATTTCATTTTATAAATAAGCCACAACGTAGTCATTAATTGTTCTGCTTATGAACCTACAGACTATTTCCAGTTTGCTTGTTTGTTTTTTCTCAATGTGAACTATGCACTCTTATACCAGTCTCTTACTTTTTCTCAAATATGTACTTAGGAGTAGAATTTCCATATCTTATGAAATGCTTATCTTCAGCTTTAGCAGGTATCTCCAATTGCTTTGTAAAATGATGTTAGCAATTCACATGTCTTCCCCCACTAGCAGTGGGTGAGATTTCCCCTTGCTCCATAAGACCTCTCTTTTTACAAATGGAAATATGATACCCAGAGAGTACAGATTTTTGTTCACAGAGTTTAACGCTCCCCGACATCATCCCATTTTCTACACCTCTCCAAAAAATATTTACATAAATAAATATTTTCTTTTAATTATGAAAGATGTGGGCTTCATTTCCTATTACAGTGACTTAAAACTGAATCTATCTGGGTCAATAAAATGTGCTTGAAATATATATTAAAAGGCAATTAGGGAAATTTGTTACGGGAAGCCCCCAAACTGTGAATAATCTTCTAGATATTAGTAAATATTGGAACTCTGCATTTAGATGTTCACATGCAATCCTAGTGTATAGTATATAAATTGCACCTAATTTAAAGCTCTATTTACAGTTGTAGCTTTCCTCTCTCTCTCTCAAATACACCTGTTCTCAGAGCAACTTTGAGCCTGAAACAGCAGACATTTGTCTAAGATTTGTTAACATTTCAGGGGTAAACAGCTGTTCCTCTTAGACAATAGTGTAAACAATACCATCTTCTGGGGGCATTTTGCCAACACGTTTTTATTAGCTGTAGAATATTAATCACTGTTAAAACCGTTCTCAGCCAGATTGATATTTACCTTTTGAAATTCTTTCGTCAACCTTTTAGTCTGACAAATCCACCTTTCAAATGCTGGAGTGGAAGCTGAATATCGTCCCTTAACCCCCATGTTGCTTGATATAGAACTCATACTAGCAGAACACCTTACTTTGAAGAAGCTTAAAAATGATGCATAGATAGAGCAGATTGATTGCTCCTAGGAAATGAGGAAAAATGGATCACTGAAACCCTCAGACGCTTGCATCTTAGAAGGATAAATCGGAACATCTTCTCAAGACAAACGCATATCTGAAATCTTAAAAAAGAAATGAAGTGGACAGGACTCGGTGTTCATGTCCCTTCAATTTTCCCTTGGGCCCTCCCACTTCCTTCCTTTTAATAGAGTGGCAGGGAAAGAAGCATTCATCCCCTGGCATCTTAGCCTTGGAATATTCAACAGGTGGTTTGCCTCCTTGATTCTGTAATTCTCCTGTGAGGCATGTAGCAGCTATGTTTGACCATCTCCATGTTACAGATGATATCCTAAGAGGAGACAGATATTGACATCTGAAGGATCACACAGAATGAATGGCCCCAACTGACAGGACACCTTAAAATGAAAACCCATCCATGTTTTTTTCCTTTGTCTTTATAGAGCTTATAGGTAAAATTCACTGTGACATATGGGTACCTGGCGTGTACGAGAGAGGAATCTGCATTGGTCACCATAGTCTGTTGTGCGTCTCACTACTTTTGGATTATTTCAGCTTCACATATTCATGGTTTGTTGTAAAGATGGCAGGATGATTTCTGCTGCCACTCATATCTTTAAAAATAGAGTTCTTAAAAATATTGATGTGGCAGAAAGTTAATTTAATATTCTTCTTTTCATTCTTCTTTTAAAAAATGTTTTAATTTTTTTTCTTTTTTTGTTTTTGTTTTTGATTTTTTCTCCTTAGAGCATGTGGCCAGTAACATGCTACACCTGTAGGGTGTAGGAAATGGCAAGAAAAAAAAAGTTCCTGCTCTCCAGGAGCTAAAAATGACTTGGGAGAGTAAGATGTTTAAAAAGTTAAGATGACAATACAAATTAGCATATGTTTAAGTGCCAAATCGCCCAGATAATAAGTGCTATAGGTGTTTTTAAGTTGACAAAGATTGCTTCCTCTGGGAAGGAAAACTTGCAATTGGCATAAGGAAGTGGTTGTCTCTTTGGGGGTAAATGGATTTGAGTCACTCTTTGCCATGAGGCTTGTTATTGAATTCAGGTTAGGTCGGATGCATTTGCCCTCACAGGAAGTCACGTTAGGATAATGAAGGCAGAATTCTACTTTTACAGAAGAACTGGCTTTTCCATTAAGGCAAAAGGACCTCAGCCAAAGGTTGACAACAATTCACTTGAGCCTCTCCCCACTACTTCTGTCTCCTTGTTCCATCTCAAACTCAATCTCGTAACCACCGTGTTCATCCTTGACATCAAAACTAGCCATCTTCTTACATCGATCTCCTATGAATAGAAAAACCCTTTATATACCTTCACCTGAAACACATGTTTTTGTTCAGCTGGTATATGTCGTTCTGTTGATACATACTACTGTTTCTTCCTTCTGTGGACTGCTTCTTCCCAATTGGCTACTTTTTGCTCACCATTGCACTCCAAATTCAGCTAACGCATCTCTCTTGAAGTCTTTTTTGATTCCTTTATATTGTTTCTCTTCATAGGGTTTCCTCACTCTGAGTAGTTTCTCAGAAGTAATTTATCAGTTAACATTCAACTTAGAGTCTTCAGCATACATGGAGGCTTTTGAAAAATATTTGAGGGGTGCCTGCGTGGGTCAGTCGGTTGAGCATCTGACTTGATTTTGACTCACTCAGGTCATGACCCCTAGGGCATGGGATTAAGCCCCACATCAGGCTCTGCGCTGAGTGTGGAGCCTTCTTGGGGTTCTCTCTCCCTCTGCCCCCTTCCCCATTCATGCTCTGCCTCTCTCTGTCAATAAAATGTAAAAAAAAAAAATGATGAATGAATAATATTAGATATAAAAAAGCCTTGTCAACTTTTTAAAAGGTATACCCATCCCCTCCCCTCACCCCTCTTCATCCATTGCACCAG